AGCTGGATGGGCAGATGCATCCTGTGAGTACTGGCTCTCCTCTTTAGTCATCCCGACAGTACACAGCCGCCGGTGTCTCAGCAGTCTGTCTGTCCGTGAGAAGTTCTGCAGCCAGGGAAAGACAGATTTTTAGACAGAGTTTTTCTAGGTGTGTGCAGGAAAGAAGGTGAAATTCATATGGCCTATTTGATCATTTGATAACACTAACCTGATGACAGCGATCACACTGGTACGGCTTCTCTCCGCTGTGCACCCTCTTGTGTCTGTCCAGGTGGTAACGCTGAATGAAACGCATATCACAGGCATCGCAGGCATACGGCTTTTCTCCTGTGGAAAAACAGCAGGAGAACCATTTATCAGCATTTATCTGCATATTTCACTGAAAGCAAGATCATTTTAAAATGCTGTAATGTAGTTTATTCTCTTTTTTTGGGACATCTATCAAGAGCAAAATTATGGTAAAGGGACAAAGACATAACCAACATTCACATAATGATGATGTCACTGTATGATGATATAGATGACAGGATAAGAAATTAAATACAAATCATTTAATAACACAAAAGTTAAACAATTATAAACGCAGTCTGTGTTTTGGTTTTGTAATAATTAGATTAGCATTAGATGCCATTTCAGAAGGTAGGATGCTCACGGACGTTCATCGGCTGAATAGTTGCCTCATAACTTATTGTACCACTCTGTTGCCCGTGTCTTACTACTGCATTAAAAAGAGAAACAGTGAAGTCACAGTGAAGTAAAAACCTGAGCTGTAAGCACTCACCTGTATGTGTAAGTATATGTCGCTTGAGGTGGTAGCTACTCCGGAAAGCTCCGTAGCAGTGGTCACAGATGAAGTTCTTCTGAACTTTCAAGGAACTGTCATCATCCATGTCCAGTGGTGGAAGTATAAGCTGTCAACAACAATAACAAAGGAGCTCAAATTAGATTTACCAAGAGACAAACTTTTGCACTTATAAATGCAGCTTTAAAAGAATATCCTTACCTCCACTTTCTCTTTGACTTTGTTGGATGACCCTGATTTTTTGTGCTTCTTCTTGGGTTGCATATTCTGGTTTGCCTGCATGTCCTTCCCATCCATCATTCTTGATGTGTGATAATCCCCGTCTTTTCGGATCAGCTGTTGGGAGAAGAAGGGTAGTAGGTGAAATGCAATGCAGCACATGGTTTACCACAGACCAAGCTACTCAGCACTGAATGGTGAAATATGCTAGATTGCATTCCATAAATTATCACATTCACATGTCAACACTTTACTGAATCCCCAGTTTAAAATGTGCAAGCAGCAAATTAACATCTAAGAAATGGTTTCTAAAACAGTCAAATAGAAAGCAGATAAAATGATCTATGATCAAAGATTCAATAGAAAAATCATTACTGATGCGTTTAAGGTAGTCAGGGAATCTAAACGCTGATTGGTTTTCGCCACAGTGTGCAGCAGATCTGTGGCTCAAGTTTAAATGTTTGTTCTATAATGGATCTTCACTTTTATGCAGAGACAGATAAATCATCATAAGAATACCGTCGATGGTAACTGGTACATCATTAGAACAAATAAGGTTTTGCCTGTTAATTGTTGACCACACTCACTGTTTTACATGTATACACCAAAACCTGCTGTTACGTAATTGACAGATACAGCTACTTCTTTGTATAATGTGTAAATATTCGGGTGGCAGTAGCTCAGCCTGTAGGTACTTGGGTTGGGAATCGGTGGGTCGCCAGTTCAAGTCCCGGGACGGACCATATCCGGAAATTGGCCTAAGTCCGGAATGGTAGGAAGGGTCTGGTAGCTGGAGAGGTGCCATCACTGCCGAGATGCCCTTGAGCAAGGCACCTAACCCCCCCACCAGCTCAGGAGAGCTCGCTGTGGGCAGCCCCATCACTCTGAGACCTCTCCATTAGTGCATGTGTGTGTATTTCGGCCTATGTTTGTGTAGCATGTTTACTAGACAGAGTGTAAAAAACAAATTTCCCCTCGTGGGATCAATAAAGTATACATTATTATTATTAAATAGAGATTATCTCCATGAAAGCAAAGTTATAATAAAATCACAGCTTGAACACGTTTTTGAGCCATATTTTCTCTCTTACCAGAGGTGGACAGCTCCCTGCTGACGGGTGACCCATGTGGCTGTGGTGGGCTTGTCCATGGTGACCCTGGTGTCCATGGTGGTTGTTGCTGTGCTGCGAGTGAGTTTGGTGGCTCTCTGAACTGGCCCTGTGCCCTTGACCCAAAGTTGACATCATCCTCTTCTGTCCTGGGATGTTGTTGGCTTGCATCAGAGCCATACTGGATAGCACCGCCTCACAGCCCAGCAACCCAGCCTGAAAATACAGACCACATGTCAGAGCAGAAAGAGGGAGACTGCGGGACTCCTCACAGAGAAAAGAAGTCAGGGGGAGTACAGGGAGTAATTGGGTCAAAAGAAAAATACAATGGCACCCGGATGATGGTGATTCTGATGATAAAGAGACTTCCACTGACCCATTTCATATGGTCCCTGTTGGAATGGTTTGTCATCGTGGTGGTTTGAATGCGTGTGTGTTTGGGGGAACAGTGGGGACTTCACTCAGGATCAGGGGTAACAGAAGAGACCCCACCCACCCAAATCATCAGGGGCCAAAGCCTGAAAGAAGAGGTATGATAACATAAGGCCAATCATTTTTTTTTTTTTTTTTACATGCTGGATTCAGGAGCTGGAAAAACATCCAATATATTTGGATTTCACAAATCACCAAATCTGGATATGTGACCAGGAATTTAGTTCCAGCATGAGTCGCTGCAGTAATTCAGGCAAGAAAGCCCCAATGGTTTGGTGCATGCCATGTTTCCATGGTGGACTAAAGACAAACAACAACAGTCAAATGGAGCATGGTAACAACGTCCAATGGAAAAACGAAATTAATACAGTCCATATGGAGAAAAAAAAAGTGAAGTATGATCCATTAAATCAACAAATACGTCATGCATGGGGTAAAACTGAAATGTATCAAGTTATTAAATTGTAATAGGCCTCTTATTTGAAATTTGATCACCTGATAAAAAAGGTTTTGATTCGCCTTATTATCATCATCATTTCATTAGAACAACCACCTGATTAATCGTTGCAGTATAAAACTTTGCAGAGTCATTTAGTGAACTGCATTTCCGGCAATGATATTAGGCATGGATGTTACAGATGCAATGAATATTTAAAAAGCACTGAATGACTAAAACGTAACCTGGAATACAAAGACATAGTGCGATATGAACAAATTTATTTTAAATAACGTGCAAAGCCTTTTTTTTTTTTTTTAAATTCTGAAAAGGGAGATGTCCTACAAGTGATTTCACAAGTAAAATATTTGAAAAAAAGACAGCCTACTTTTTGAACAATTTATACCGATTGAAATGAGTAATGTAGTTATTAGAGTCAATGCTTGGCTCAGCAACCTTTAATGCTCAATGTGACTTGGTTAAGAAGTTGTGTTGGCTTAAAATTAGGATGCAATACATTTACTTTAATGTAAGGTTAGATATTAAGACAGGACTTACCTTTTAAAATGTTTTTAAAGTTTGCCAGTAAAGCTGGAATCAAAACTATAACCTATGGTGTGAGCTGTGATATAGCCATGCATGCATTATAGCAACTCAACACTGCATTCCCTTCACATTTAGAAAAACACAATTTGGTTTATTCAATCAATTTGATTTTAAGCTAAATAATTCGGTTCGTGAGTCTGTCTGATTTTTCGGCATTAGTGTTTTTTTTTATGTTTCAAAAACTAGAATGATATCTCGTGGATTTAAAGATTAATTTCAGCACTAGCTAACGAGCTAGCCAGCGAGTTATCATTAAAAGGTTTTCCCCCCTTTAGCAAAAGTGGATTTCTAATTCTGCCGGATTATAACAAGAGCGCTTCAGAAATACATGCTGTGCGCCTGCTTCACATGTTGGAGTGCAGTGCGCGGGGGGAGCAGCGTGAAAAGTGTGTGTTTCTGTTCAATCAAACTGAATTAGCTAGGATGCTACCTAGCCATTAGTTGGGGTTTTGGGACAACTCTGGTGTGAGTGGACCCCCAGCCCCCTCCCCAGACAACACAACAACAGCCAGGGCGTGCGGACTCCGCGCCGACCACTAAATCAGACCTTCTTCGTCGGATAGCGCTGTTAGAAAGAGTCGCGTAGCAGATTGTAAAACGTTAAAGGGGCTTCGAGCGAGAAGTTCCATAAAACCGCATGCTTACCTTTCAATTTTAAGAGTTATGTAGGTTATTATTGCTTGTCGCACTTCCAATTTTCTCAGTTTACAAACACTGACAGGAAACGGCACCGGATGTGCTAACAAAGGAGCACGGGGATTGGTCAGAAGCGCTGTCACGTGACTGTAGCGAAGCGATTCACATTAGCGGCCATAAATGTGAGGGAATAATGGCTGCATGGCTGTGCTGAACCTATGTGCTGAACAGAGCAGGAGTCAGTGAACGACTTTATTAAGACTATTAATAGGTTTGATCAAACATCAAGAGTTGGACATCTGAGTGCTCATCTAGACGCTACGGCCGATCAACTGCTAATATAATTATTTTTTTTTAAAGTTGAAACTCACAAGTCACTTTAAAAAGTCAAAAGTTACAGACAAGAATAAAAATATTGCAACAATCAGTAAGGCTTTTTACCTGCTTTTTTTGTAAAGTGTATTGAGATAACATTCATTATTTTCTGATTGATAGCACACAGTATAAACAGGGGAATGGAAACATTTGCACAACTTTTCTCAAATACTGGAAGCAAAGGATGGCTAAAAAAAAAAAAAAAAGCCAACAAGATAGAGTGGAAGAGAGTCAACATTTATACTTTTTCCATTTATACTAGGCTATCTGAGATGAGGAAGAAATTAGAGAATAAAGTAACGCAGTACTTTACAATAACAATCACGCAGTTAATAAATTTTGTCTTTTCCAATTAGAATTTTTCTTGAACAAAAAGTCAGCCTGGTTTAAACCTTGTTTCATTTTTTTATTAATTGACTAACTTGTAATGGTTGGCATACTTTAGGGAAGATACCTAGAGAACGCTGGTGGTGTGCAGAATTTATTCAGTGTTTAGAAGTCAGGAGACAACTCATGATTTACGGCACATCATACTGGTCTAGTTGATGTCATCCCAAAAAGATGATCAATGGGGAACATGTTATTGTATTATTAGAACTGTTGCTAAGTCGTTTTATTACATTTAACAAATTGTTAATTTGCCTCTAGATGTTTCACAATCTGTAGGCTACAGCATATAAAACAACACTTTCAACCATTTGACCTTCTATTCAGATAAAGAAAACTTGCCATTAAAAAAATATATCTTAATATGCCACAAGGTGAACATTTCTACAATGTTGAATGTATGTACTCTTCAGTACATACACAAATTTGAATATTTTTTTTTTTTTACAAAATAAAATCATTTTTTTTGTTTTTCATAATAAAAGTTGCATAATCATTGATAAGCAGTTTTATGACAAGTATTGTAATTGTCCATGAGCAAGAGGCCTCTTGCTAAAGGGTTACTGTGAGAAAAATAAACAGCAATTAAGTCTTCAACAGTTTTCCCCTGATATAAAATAAACTATAAAAGAAACATACATTTCAGAGAAATAAAACCTTTTTGTTAAAACAAAGTAAGGGCTTCAGTCATTCTCCAACAGGAAGTCAATGTTCTCAAGGGGCAGATCAAAGTCTCCCTGACTGAGCAGCGAGTGCAGGTGAGAAGCTGTGGCTTTCCCCCTCTGACTGTTTCTCCAGTGACGCAGCATGGCGAACACTCTGTCTACATGCAGCGAGTGGTCCTCTTCAATCTGTTCCAGCTTCACATTGGGGATGTCCAGCGCCAATCCGCCAATCACCTTCCAAGATCTGCCAATGGTGCGTGCCACGATCAGCAGCTGCTTCTCCTTCACCAAGCTGGAGCCTGTACAATAAGACAAGTGAATATAAAAGTAAGTGATGGTCTCTACTGTGTTTTAAGGGGAATAGCCTTATTGGTAGTGTGACCAACCGTTGTTGCTGATCTGTTTGGATGGAACAGAGTCTTCTAAATCAGGAGCTGATTTTCTTTTTCTTGATGTTTCTTGAATTCCTTTTAGATAGAGAAAGTGTGTTATCAATCCTTAAATTATTTCAAATTTAGATCATGAAAATATGAAGGACACTTTTTTTCCTACCAGAAGACAGCATGTCGACATGCAGATCTTTAGTAAAGCTTAGCATTGGAAAGGTTTCCTGTAGTGCCGGCTCATTCAGTAGTTCCAGCAGACCCTGTACAGCTTCAGGTCCTCTTTGGATAATATGATCCAGCAGCTCTGTCACCTTCTCACAAGGAACACGGCAGGCTTTCACCTGCTGGTAGCCGTTAGGAGACAGCAGACAACGGGAGTCTGCATGCTGCAGGACAAAGTCTGCATCCCCACTTAGAATATCTATTAGCTTAGCCTTCTGGCTTCTAAGTAGCTGGATTTCTGCTGCTGGATTGTCAGCCATGACTGAATGTCCCCTAAATCATCTCCTGAGGAAATAAAGGGATCAATTATTATTATTTTTTTAAATGAAAGCATCACATCAGAAGAAGCCTACAAATCAGTTACTGTTCTTTTAAATTATTTCACAAGTACATGGTGAGCTTCATCAAGCAGTGAAACATTTACTGTCATAGACATTTCTGATGTTAAAAAAAAGATACCAAGCCATCATATTTTTTATATTCAGGGAAGGTGACATTTCACAGACCATTGTAGGCAGTACTGGTGCTACTTAAATAATAAGTAATAAACAACCTTCAGAGTTATTAAACGTCTCAGAATAACAACATATATTATTTACAGGTGTGTGTTTATTGCACATTTTAATATGTGAAAGTGAAAGTTTGAATATCATTAGGTGAGCCTTACACTCGTACACAAGGCATGGCTTTTTGTGAGAAATGTTCACATAAAGGTCTCACCATTTTAATGTTACAGCTCGAGGGACAAAGTACGACTTGACAAAAAAAGACACTGCGTTTAGCGAACACTTCCTTCTCTCCTTCTTTCGTTTACGTCTTCTTCCCGCTGCTTTCTCTTCCTTGTCTATTTTCCACGAACTATCGTCTGAGGCACCCGGATGACCTTAAAATACTTGACCCACTTGTGTGCTTCCATCCAGCGGATGGAAGATTGAACTGCAGGAGTCTGACATGGCCGAATGTATTTGGTGACATCTGGCGGAATGAAGAACTGATAGCACACACCAATGAAAGCATTTTGAGAGTGTATTGGAGAAAAAAATGACTTTATACATCTGGTGGGGGGGGGGGGGGGGGGGAATCCCCTGATGCAGCACTAAAGTGATGGATTAAGTGATATGAAAAGCTGATTGAACAAAACAAATGCAGTAGCCTTGTAGTATACTGAAACAGACAATAAAAAATAAATTCAATTCAATTCAAAAGGGCTTAATTGGCATGGGAAATCTACTTTAACATTGCAGAAGAAAGAATGAAAAGAAAACACAAAATGAAGTTAACGGAATAACAAAAAAATCAATATTGAAATAACTTTAATAGCTGTTCAGGATTGCAGTATTACAAAGTGTATAAACATAAAAACAGGTTGAGTTTAACTTAGAAATATAAGTTGAAAACTTAACTTTGCTTTTTTAATATATACAGATGACTACAAATAACGTACAAAAATATAAAATACAAAACAAAAATATAAAAACAATGTTAATTGTTTCAGTATATTTACAGCTCTACGGTCTGTAAAGGGGAAAACAGTTGTAATATATGATGTAATGTCTTTGTACATTTTTAAATAAAAAATTGATCACAAAAAAAGGAAACCAGGTCTGTCTGTGGCGTCCTCTCTCTCGATGGCGAGGCCGTGCTCACTGAGTCTTCAAATCGTCAAACATTTCCTTCTTTTTGGATCAGTCAGGAGCTATTTAGGGGTAGATAACATTCTAATTTGCTCTGTCTTTTTTTTGGTTAATTCCTTCCAGAACCAGCTGTCTGAGGGGGCAGCTCTCTGTTATCTGTTTGGAGGTCAGGGCTTTGTTATGGAGTGTGTCAAGGTCACTTTCTTTAAAATGGTAATACAATTTCAAAGCTCTCTTTTGAATTTTGATAAGTAAAGAATATCGTCCTAATTCTGCTCTGCATGTATTATTTGATGTTTCCTGTTGGACATGGAAGATGTATTTACAGAATTCTGCATGCAGCGTCTCCATTTGATGTTTTTCCCATTTCTTTTTTATATTGGTTTGCGAGAGGACCCCAGACCCTGCAATCATAAAGAGAAATGGGTTCTATAACTGAATATTTTAAGCCATATTTGAATTGGGATGTCTGATTTCAGATGGCGTGAAAGCCCTTCTGGCCTTTGCTCTCAGGTCGTTCACAGCTCTGTTGAAGTTAACAGTGCTGATGTTAAGGCCCAGGTCATTTTTTGTGTGTTCAATTTGAACTGTATCTAGAAAGAATTTCATTTTGTGGTGTTGGAGGCTCTTTCTTTTTTTTTTAAATAACATCATTTTAGTTTTGGTTAGGTTGACTGTCAGAGCTCAGGTCTAGGAGAAACTTTGCAGAAGATCCAGGTTGCTGTTGTAGCCCTTCCTTGGTTGGAGGAGCCCCAGGTCATCTGCAAACGTTATGTAGTGTCTAACAGGGTGGTGTCCGGTGCTGCAGACTCTTCTAATGCCTTTGCCAATTCATTGATGTAAACGTTAAAGAGGGTTGGACTTCCCATTCTAGGAGATGTCTGTGGTTTCCTTTGTCCATTTTTACATCACATTTGTTGTTTGTGTACATTGTGTCTGCTGTCGGATGAAGGGATGAATGTAAGGGTTAAGGGATGAAGTTGAGGGTTGAAGAGATGAAGGTAAGTGTCAGGTGAATGGAAGAAGGACGATGGACTTGTGTCTGCCGATGTGCGACGTGACGAAACCAGAGGGGATCGAGACTCTGGGTGGGGGAGCCGTCTCTTCGTTGCTGTCTTTATGGGCCCCTGTGGTTCCTGTATTTAGAGAGAATTGATAAAAATAAGGAGGGGTTCATGTGAAATCAGCATTGGAGGAATTGGAGTGATTAAGGCGTGCTTAAATACGTATGAAACGGGTTGTGTTTGAAGCGTGGTCTATGTTCCTGACCCTAGTTTTTAAAACTTTATTAGAGGTATGTGAATTTGATAATTTAGTTAGGGATACAAGAAACACCATCTGCTTAATTCATTTCCAATTACTTGATTTTGTCCTCTCGTTCTTTTAGAGTATACTAACGGAACTAGAGAACTACAGTTAGTGCTGCTGTGTGGTGTTGACACAATAGCAATAGCCTACATTTTTCTTTCATTGATTCCTCAAATGTAGTATTTTAAAAACACTTGCATTAGTATATTTATATATGTGTCAAATAATACAGTCACTGATGACAAATGTCACACTGACTAACAATATGTCAGACCATGCTCTGTGCAACAACTGTACAGCAGAATCTCACCTTGACACTGCCAATCTGCGGCAATTCCTGGCAGTTTTCGGTGTTGACTGTACATTTCTGTGAGGAGCCGTTAAGTTGAACTTCCACAGACTGTGACGATGACTGACAGAAATCCTGCTTTTCATGAAGTGGTAATTAGTGAATCCAGCAGGTTCAGACAGTCTTTAATATTCTCTATACTATGTAGGTTATCTTGAATTGTGTTTGCTGTTTACTCTACTCTGTTATTCTTCTATCTATAAAAGACGAATAAGAGACTAAAAGAATGTGTATCACTGTTTCACTGAAATGAACTGGAGTTCCTCCACAAGGAGTCAAACATTCACTGTTTTTGTTGTTGTTATTCACTGCATGAATACCAAGCAGATCACGTGTAGGTCATTGTGTGTGTGTGTGTGTGTGTGTGTGTGTGTGTTAATTGGATGGCAGTGTGGAGGATGTAGGATATAAGCACATACTAGGTCGTTGTATCATTTCAGAGAAAGGCCCCTGACTGTTAACGGACCACAATAATCAGGGAGCAGCGGTCACAAGTCTGCTTGGCCTGTTTACTCTGCTCCACTCTGGGAAATGACAAATCAATACCTTATTCTTGGACAGATATTTGCTTTTTGCGAGAGGGAAAGCCTCTGGAGCCCATTTCATCCACACACAGTATACACACTGAGTCACTGTGTGTATAAACTGTCTGGACAAATGCTGTTTTCTCTGCCTACAGTGGGTGGAAAAAGAATGGAGAGGCATCATTTAGTCTAATTATTCATTCGTCACCCAGGTGAGAGGAGAGAAATGTGCAATCCATCCTCTTTTATGTACTTCTAACGACTTTACTTTGCTATAAATTTGCATTATGTTGAGAGTAGGTCTTAAGAAGTAACATTATGAAGACTTGCACTAAGCTGAAATGCAGGGAGCTACTGATCTCAGTAAATATACAAATGTTGACACTCCGGAAGCTTTCAACTCCAAACACTGTGTAATGTGCCTGTGAAATGTGCACTTGGTCATTTTGCATTATATCACTGCAAAACAAGTGGAGCATACTCTGTATGCAATATGAAAATGAACTGACTTTGCTGCTGAATGAGCACAATCCCACTCATACTCTCGTGCTTTCAGGCCCCATCGCGCTCTCTGTCAAGTGGTAAACTCCATCTGTATGTGCGTGCTAGTGCTGCATGGTGTAAGAGCTGATGGAGAATAATGCACTTTCCTTATGAGTGGCTCTGGCTTCATTCTACAGACCTCTGCACCTGGAAAATTGGGATTTTGTAGATGAGTGTGCAAGCATGAGTGTTTGTATGTGTGTGTGTGTGTGAGTGCAGCTTATCCCCTGCATGCCTTAACAGATAAATTATATTTACATGTAAAGTAACAGACAATTACAATCACTCTTACTAACACTTTTGAGTACCCAAGGGAGAAAATCAAGTGTGTCTGGATCAAACATTGCCCTACATGTTTTCACAACACAAGTCCTTGTGTCCTTGCTGTTTGTCAAAGCGCTTTGTAAACCTGTGTTTTTAAAAGGTGCTCTATAAATAAAGTTATTATTAATGCAAAGAAAAACATGCACATATACAGAATTTCTTACAAGCTGTGGTAAAATCCTTGATTAGGAAACAAAAATCTTCTTTTTTTAGATTTGCATATTCGACAAATAGCAATGCACACAGTTACAACATTTCAATTGAAATGTAAAATTCACACTGCTGTAAATAAACACAAAAAAGGCTCCTTTCTCAGAACCAGTTCACCTTCATGAGATTAATTATGTTACACCTTAAGATAGCCTCTGGTATAAGTGCAAAGAATGTACACTTTGTGTTTGCTTTAGTTGAACCTGGCCAGGGATGCACACAGGGGCCTGTGGCGAGGGCACAGCCATGCATTTGAGTGACTCTGACATGTCTGTTTGTTTAACATGCATTATATATGAAAGACCAGAGCGAGAGAGGAGATATCAGGGGAGGAGGACAGCAGAAAGGAGAGAGAGGGGGGAACAGTGAGATGACACCAGGAAGACAGTGAAACAGGAGGCTAGAGAAGGTGGCAATTCATAGTTGAGTGGACACATACTGTAGATGGATATGTTGAGTAAAAAGATGAATGAAGAAGACAAAAAGAACAACAGCAGAAAATTAGATTTCAGTCAGACTCAGTATTGAGCATATACAGTATGTTATGGAATTTAAACCATTGTATCCTTTCTTTTAGAGGAAAAAATATGTTTATGCATTTATTATATATTCTGCTATATATGTATAAGAACAGGATGGTCATACGTTATCATCCAGCATGTCGTATAAATTCTCTCAGATTTATTATACATGAAGCTGTTGTTCATTATGGGATAAGGACAGTTTGCGGAGGACTTATAGGTCGAGCCTGTAATGTAATTGACGGGTCCATTAACGCTGGTAGAAGTGTAAATAATTTAAGTGTGTGTGCATGTGTGTGTATGCCTCTGCACTCCTATACTTTAAAGGAGGATACTGAAGAATGGCAAACACAAAGGCATTTCCCATCCTTTAAGTCTAATGAATGGAAAACAGTGAGTCTGACTGACTGAGCAGACGTGTTTTCAGAAGCTCCAAAGCCAAGGAAGATAC